ATTTGAAAGGTTTTCAGCCATTATTTCTTCAAGTATTTCTGCTGCCCCTTTCTTTCTCTCCTCCTTCTGGGATGCCCGCAATCCTTATGCTGATCTGCTTTACGATGTTCCATTGGTCCCTTAGGCTTTGTTCACTTTTCTTCAATTTCTTTTCTGTGTGTTCCTCAGCCTCAGTAAGTTCCATTATCTTGCCTTCAAGTTCATTGATTCTTTCTTCTGCCTGCTCAAATCTGCTGTTGAGCCACCCAAAGAAATTTTCTATTTCAGTTAATATACTTTTCAGCTCCAGAATTTCTTTTTTATTTCCTTTTAGTTTTTTTTTTCTCTCTTTGTCATTATTTACATTTTGCTCACACATTGTTTTCTTAGCTTTCTTCACATCCTCCTCCTGTTCTTTGAGCATCTTTAAGACAGTTGTTTTAATGTCTTTGTCTAGTAGATCTGCCATTAGGTCTTATTCAGGGACAATTTCTGTTGATGTTTTGTTTTGTTTTGTTTTTCCCTTTGAATGTGGTACTTTTCTTTGTGTGCCCTGACATTTTTTTATCGAACATTGGACATTTGAATCTGATAATGTGGTAGCTCTGGAAATCATATTCTTCCCCCACCACAGGGTTTGCTGTTCTATGTTAGTGTTTTTGGTTTTGGTTTTTTTATTGCCATGGAGTGTCTCTGTGCTGAAGATCAGCCTGAGGAGCAAGCTTAAGGTCTTCTCATGTTTTTCCTAAGATTTTTCCTGGGTATACATGGTCTGCTTCTAATTTTCCCTGCATAAGCAGTAGTGTTTGAACATCCTTGTCTTTAATTTCTGGCTCTCAAAAGGAGGAAAAATAAAAAATGAAAGGAGATGCAAAAGAGTACTGGCCCTTTAATTCCCCTGGAAGTCTGTTCAGCTGGAGAGGGAGGGTCTTACAACAATGTGGGGAGGGGCTACAACCATGGCTGCCTGCCTATTTGTCTGCACATGTGTTATTAAAATTGGCAGTCAGAGCCCAGATCCCTGCTCTTTGCAGGACAGGGTCTTTTTGCCCACCCTGGCTTCTGCACACGGTTCCAGAAACATGTGGATGATTGCCTGCAGTGTGGTTGGTGGTGGAAGATGGGGATGGGTAGCTGCTATCATGCTAAGAGCTGAAATTGACCAAAAGTAGCTGTAATTTACCTTCCAAGGCTGGAAGTTGCAAGCTGTCAATAGACTCCTGAGTCCAGGATGGTCATTGCATCAGATGGTTTCTGCCCCTGCAGCTGTGGTCCAGATGGGGAGGCAGTTGCTCACACGTGCTTCCTACTTTTTTCCAGAATCTCCTTGGTATAAATTTTAAGTGCACAGCTTGACATGTTTTTACACACATACACATGAATGTGACTCCACCCAGAGCAAGATATAGAATATTTCCAGCACCCAGAAGGCTCCTCCTTCCTGTCCCCTCCTCATCTGTACCCCCAGAGAGAGCCATTAATCTGACTCTGTTCATTGATTTTGAGCTTCATGTAAATGGAACCACACAATGTGGGATCTTTGGTTCTGTCTTTTTTTATTCACATTCCGTCTTTGGGATTCTCTTGTTTGGTGAGTTTAGCAGACGTGTGTTCCAATGAGACTTGCTGGGTAACACCCATTTTAGAACGTGTCTTAGCTTCCTTACATCCTTCTCATCGGTAAGCACTGTGATCACAGTGGCTGTGAATATTCATGTACATAAATGTGAGTGCCCCTGTCTCCTGATTTTATGTCTGGAAGTGGAATTGCTAGAACATAGGGTGTGTGTAGGTGGTAATAGATACTTCCAAAGACTTCTTGGAATTCCAGGTCCATTTGCTACATCCTCACCATGCACACTGCCAGTCTTTCTCACTTTACTTGATCTGATGGGTCTGTCATTGTATATTTACAGTGGATTGTGTGGATTTACATTGTGGATTTAGTTTGCATTTTCCTGATGATTAATCATATTGAGGACCTTTCCATTCGTTTGGTGGTATTTTGGATGTACTCTTTCGTTATCAATTTTGCAAAGATTTCACTCACTCTGAAATTTATGTTAACTGATTTTTTCATATTGATTTGTAAGAGTTCTTTATATATTCTGTATGTGAGTCCTTGTAATAAATTCTGTCTTTTATAATATATATTGAAAATCCTTTCTCCCAGTCCAGGGTTTGGCAAACAATAGTCTGGACCCAATCTATCCTGTGGCCTATTTTCATATGGCCTACAAGTTAAGAGTGGTTGTTACAGTTTTAAAAGACAAACACATAAACAAAGATAAAGAAGAATACGTGACAGGAGGCATATGTGGCCCATAGAACCTAAAATACTTTCCAGCTCAGTCTGTGTCTATGGCTTGCCTTTTCACTCTCTTAATAGTGGTATCTTTTGGTGAACAGAATCTCTTTATTTTAATGAAGTTCAGTGAACCATTTTTTCAAATGTTTAAGAATTTTTATGTGCTGATCTCTTTTGTATGCCTTCTAGTAAAGATATTCTTCTGTGTTTTCTTCTATAAACTGTATTATTTTAAGCATATCATCCATTTCACATTAATTTTTCTATATGGTATCAGGTATCATTAAGATTTTCCCCCCAAGTTGATTTCTGTTTTTTTTCAGTTTATTAAAAGTGCCATTGTTTCCCCCCACCGAATTACAGTAACATCTGTGTCATAAGTCAGATCAATACCATCAAAAGTTCAGAGAAAAGCAGAAGTAAAACCACGGGAGCACTGAAGTAGTAATTAGCAAAACTTAATTGTACACATATCAGAAAAACAGTTTACAAACTAGGAGCACTCAAAACAAGCAATGGAGTGAGGCTCAGAGGTCTGATGTCATAAGCCCCTTATATGGTGTGGAGGCAAAGACTGGTTATTCTTCACAGTGGTGGACTACTGCAGTAGGATTTTGGGGAGCACAATTTGAGATTCACTTAGGATTTTCAGAGGCACAAGCAAGAAACAACCCAGATCAAGTTAGCCTTGCTTATCTCCCAGAAGAGACTAAATGGAGCATTACTTGTAGGACAACATGGGTTTCGTCTGCTTAGGGAATTTTCAAGGCTGGTCTCAGTGTATGTTTGATTTTGTAATGTGGATCTTTTTCTGGACTCTGTTTTGTTTCATGGGGTTTATTGGTCTATCCTGTGCTAATACTCCCCTGCCTTAGTTATGGTAGCTTTGTAATAATACATCTTACTACCCTATGGTATGTCTTCCATCTTTGTGTTTATTCTATATGGTATTGTCTAGTTTTAAGTTCTTTGCATTGGCCATATAAAATTCTTTGATCTACTTTTTAAAAAATCCTGTTGGGATTTTGATTGTATTTTCATGCATATGACAAAGGACTCCTATGCAGACTACAATAGAGAACTCCTATCAATAAGAAAAAACCAGTTAACATAACTTTTAAATGGGTGACAATTTGAAATGAATTTACCCATGCGGCCACGCAGCCAGCACCTGCGCCTAGCTGAGCCCCACCCGAGGTGCTGATCCACTCCAGTGTGCTCTGTCATGTGGCAGCAGGTAACTGATACAAGCTGGCCCAGCTTCCTCTCTGAACGGAGGGCTTGCCGTGCCTGCTTCATGGCCTGACGGGGCCTCCAGCCTCTGGCCCCACAGCCCCACTGGGCTTCCCCCTTGTTCTGCCTGCTGCTTTGCAGTGTGTTATCTATTCCCGCTCTGAAGAGATGCTTGTGTTTTGTTTTGTTTCTTTTAAGAAACTATCTTTTTGTTTTTCTCTGTTTATTTATCCATTTCTTCCCGTGCCTAAACACGAGCGCATTATCGTGCAAGTTTACTGTGCCGTTTTAACTGGAAGCTCACACAATTTGTTGCTGGAGTTTTTGTTCCCTAAGGTATGGCTTACTCCTGAAGGGATCCATTATCTGTCCTTTAATGCTCTGCTCCTTGGTTTCTTTTTCTCATTTCTTTCTTTGACAACCGAGTTCTGGCATACTTTAGCTGAGGCACGTGTTTCTGGCTTCTTCTTTTCACCTAGATACTCCTTTCCTGTATCAGGTTCATTCAGCTCCTAACTTCTCTGGACCCTCTTTGTAACTTCTTTCAAAATGTCAGCCTCAAGGCTGCCTTTGTCCAATGAAGGAGAGAATGCAAGTGATAGTTCACCAGGGTGGGTTGGTTTAACCCCTGCTCTGTTTTCTTTTACAATTATATATATCTTTTTAAGATATTATTTATTTATTTGACAGGCAGAGATCAAAAGTAGGCAGAGAGGCAGACAGAGAGAGAGAGGGAATCAGGCTCCCTACTGAGCAGAGAGCCCAATGCAGGACTCGATCCCAGGACCCTGAGATCATGACATGAGCTGAAGGCAGAGGCTTAACCCACTGAGCCATTCAGGTGCCCCATTTTTACAATTATGTTTTTAAATCCTGGCTGCCTGCTACTTTTCTTCTGATGGAAGTGGCAAGGGGGTGGGGGCTTACAAATTCAGCTCTGCCCCCGACCCTGTGCTGTGTCAGCTGATGCAGAGGACATGCTTAGATTGTTTTTCACTTGGACCATCCATACCTCCCTCACCTCAAGCCAGACTGTGTTCCGTGTAGTTGGATGTGGTAGTTCAGAGCATCATCCCTGGTGTCCTCTGTGACTGCTCTCTCCGCTGGGTGGGAGGGACCTACAAGGTCAATGGTCCTAGCTCCTTTACCGTGGGATAACTTTGATGCTTTCAAGTTGGTAGTATGATGCTAGATCCCTTTTCTAGGAGTAATATTCCTAGAGAATTCATTCTTCCCTTATTTTGGTGTGTTACTTCCTATTTTGCTTCTTTCATTTTGCTTCCTGAGGTTTGGGAGAGGATGATTCTGTGAGCCTGAGGTTTCCACTGTGAGTCAAAGGATATATTTTTAATATACATTTTGGTAAACATTTGGCTATTTTTTATTCTTATAATAACTTATGTTGGGAACTGTTTAATGAGCAAATAAAATAATTTTAGATTGCGAAAACCATTAGTAAGATTTTATATCACATTCACAGTCTCGTCTCAAGGAACTGGAGCAAGAAGCCCATTTTGTTGCAGGAGAGCGGTTTCTTATAACAAGTAATAATCAGCTTCGAGAGGTAAAGCAAAATTTTGTTTTTTATAAAATATACTTCTGGGGCACCTGGGTGGGTCAGTGGGTTAAAGCCTCTGCCTTCGGCTCGGGTCGTGGTCTCAGGGTCCTGGGATTGAGCCCTGCGTTGGTCTCTCTGCTCAGCAGCGAGCCCGCTTCCTCCTCTCTCCCTGCCTGCCTCTCTGACTTCTTGTGGTCTCTGTCTATCAAATAGATAAATTAAAAAATCTTTAAAAAAAATACTTCTTAGGGGTTAAAGAGAGATTTAGTCTTAATTTATAAATATTATTTTATGTTTATTATCTGGAAAGTATATAAGTTGTTCATGTTTTCTCACATTGAGATTCATTCCTTCAAAGCCTGCAAATCCAAGAACAGTATGAGATCAGAATTTGAGTGTTTGTAGCATCTAATTGGGTGGGCCTTCTGTGGCTGTGATGTTCAGTTTCTCTCAAAGCTGAGACCCATCCATCACGTGTCCCTGCTTTTGTTGAAGATCCTCTTCGGCAAGCTAAAACTGCACCTGCGGAGTCCCAGGGAGACTCTTCGTAGAACAGGGCTGCAGAAATTCCCATCCATGTCAGAAGCCGTGGTAAGTTCAAAAATTGTCCCCTCTGTTTTTGAGACAGTAGCATGCCTCTACCATGTGTGAGTCACCCTCAGGCCTGCCTGTCCCCCTGCAGTGGGCTGTGCAACAGGTGCTCCCCACAAGGCTGCCCTCCTAGTTTGAACCATGAGAAAAAGTACAGTTTTCTGGAAGCAATCCACCAACTTCGTCATCTGCAAAGGACAATTAGGTGGAATTTTGTTCTGAAAACAAATGGTTGTCAGTCCAGTCATAGCCTCTTAGAAGTTGAAGGCTGCCACTCCTTTCCTAGATTTATTTATTTATTAAAGATCCTATTTATTTATTTAACAGACAGAGGTCCCAAGTAGGCAGAGAGTTCAGACAGAGAGAGAAAGGGGGAAGCAGGCTCGCCGCTGAGCAGAGAGCCCGATGTGGGGCTCAGTCCCAGGACCCTGAGATCAAGTCCCAAGCTGAAGGCAGAGGCTTAACCACTGAGCCACCCAGGTGCCTCTAGATTTATTTATTTTTTTAAAAAATATAGATGTAGAAGGTTTTTCCTTTTTTAAAAAAAAGATTATTTATTTGTCAGAGAGAGAGAGCACAAGCAGGGGGAACATCAGGCAGAAGGAGCAACAGGGAGCCTGCTTCAGGACTCATCCAGAATCCTGAGATCGTGATCCGAGCCAAAGGCAGGCATTTAAGCGACTGAGCCACCCAGGTGTCACCCTAGATTTATTTTAGAAAATTCGAGCTACCTTTCCCTTGAGAAGAGCCTGTTTGATAAACAGGGAGGAGTGAGAGTCTGCTCTGTTGGAATGGCTGAGTATGGGGCACTGGGTGGCTTAGTGGGTTGAGTAGTCCTCGACTTTTGATTTTGGCTCAAGTTGTGGTCTTGGGGTAGTAGGATCAAGCCCTCAGTCGGGTTCTGCACTCAGGAGGAATGTGCTTGGGTTTCTTTGCCTCTCCCTCTTCTGCTCGTTCTTTAAGCTAAATCAATGAATCTTTAAAAGATATATGTTAAAAAAAAAAAAAAAAGAATGGACGAGTATAAATAGATGTTCAGAATCCAGTGAGTAAGATTCATGAGAGCATGCAGAGTGGGCATCAGTAAGTGGACTTGGTTTTTGTTGTTGTTGTTATTGTTTTTAAGATTTTTTTTTATTCATTTGAGAAAGAGCCAGAGAGAATGACTAGAGGGGATAGGAGTGGCAGAGGGTGAAGCAGGGAGCAGGAGGTGGGGCTGGATCCCAGGACCCCGAGATCCTGACCCAGGTGCCCCTGCAGTGGACCTGCGTTGCTACAGTGAGAGCCAGCTCGGGGGCGCAGCCTGTGCTCTGCGTGCCGCATTCAGCATCAGACTTAGCCGCAGCCTCTCTCCCTACGCACATGGCCAGTCCAGCCCTGCACGCTCTGCCCACGTCGGCCCTGCCGGAGCCCTGTGTCTTCTGACGGTCCCCATGTGCGGCCCTCGGGGTTCCGGGGGCAGTTCTTCTGTGCATCACAGACGTCTGCAGAGTGATGTGTCCCGAAAGGGGTTTGAATTTGCCCCTTTCCCCACCTCGGTGGAGGCCCCTCATCCTTCCACATCCTTGGGAGCCAGCAGGGGGCAGAGCAAGGACAGTGGCATTGGCCACTGCATCCTCCTGCATGGCTAGGGCATGCTGACTCCTCTGTGCTTCAGTGTCCTGACCTGTAAAAGAAGGATAATAACAGTCCTTTCCCTACAGCAATCTTGTGAGTGTTCAACAAGTGTGTCTATGTGTGCCTGTGTGTGAAGCAGTCCTTAGGACCATGCCTGACATGAGCTCTCAGAAACCAGCAAGTCCTGGCTGTAATTATCAGCTACTTCATCCAGAAACCTACAAGTCACCCTAGATCTTCTTCCAGCCTCACCTGCAGCCAGCCTTACCATCTCTGCCTGCAAACATCAGTCTGGAGTTGGCTCTGTCAGTCCTTGCAGCCACCCCCTCAGTCACCTCCCACTCACAGCCTGGCACGGCCCCCTCGGCCGCCTCCCAACTGCTCTCCCCCTGCTGTTTATGTGTCAAGTGCAGGCAGAGCCTCCCCTCATGTACATTCCAGGGGCTTCCTGTGACCCCTAGATTCGTGTCCAGAACCTCCAGTGTGTCCATAGTGCCTTCTCGGGCCCCCTCACTCCCAGCGCCCCTGGGCAGCACACTGCTCTTCGCAGGTTCCGCGCGGGCCCTGTGCCAGCCTGCAGCCTCTTCTGGAGTTTGTGCAGTGGCTTCTGATTGGCACCTCAAGTGCGGCTTTCAGGGAGGCCTCCCCTGGCCACACAGACAGCAGCAAGGCCCCCAACACAACCTGTGTCTTCCCCCAGACTAGTTTCCTGTGCCTAAAGTTGGCTTAGCTCCTGGTGGGCTTGTCGCTCGAGGCTATAGGCTCCATAGATCCAAGCCCAAGATTGACCGTCTGTTGCCTCTCCAGAGCCAAGCAGCCTGCGCCAGCATAGTTGTCTGCTGTTCGCTCACGGAGCTCAGGGACCGCACGGAGCAGGCCCCATCCTGCCAGGGAGACTCGGGCCTGGATTTCACACCCACACGGCAGAGGGCCACCGCCTGAAAGGTGGAGCAGCGGTGGTAGCTGGGAAAGCTGCATGCTTGGCCTCATGGGGCCTGGAGCTGAGGATCTCGGGCTGAGTATTCTCCATCCTGGCACCAGCTGGCAGTGTTGCCCTTCCCTCTGCTGCTCCTTAGCTCTTCCAGGCACCTGGCAACTAAGGAGATGGAACTCTCCTCTGGTGTTGGTGTGCTTTCTCGTAGATTTTTTACAAAGACATGATCAGGTAAATCATATTAACCTCTTTTATTTAACTGACCAAGGCATACTACTTTGTGCATTTTAAAAAAAGATGAACTTTTACTAGGGAGCACATGTACATGGTTCCAAATTCAAAATGAAGACTCCTCTCTTCTTTCCTTCATCCTTTCCTTTCCCCTTCCTGTGGGGAGGGATGTGGACTTCAGGTGAAATGTGTAGCCTCAAACAGTTCAAGCAAGAGCACAACTATGATCTTAGATATGGTTTTGTTAGGCGTTTATTTTTATTAAGTCTTATATTTTATTTCACAGCAATATTGAGCAGAAGGCACAGAGAAGTTTCATATACTGCCTTCTTCCC